AGAGGTCAAGCTATCACTTTTTCAGATGATATGATACTATACCTAAGAGATCCCAAAAGTTCCACCAGAAAAGTCCTAGAACTGATCAACACTTTCAGTATAGTGGTAGGTTATAAAACCAATCCACAAAAACCAGTAGCCTTTCTATATACAGGAAACAAGCGAAAGAAAAGCCACCAGAAAACTCCTTGAAATTATTAACACATTCAGTAAAGTGGCAGGTTACAAAATTAACCTACAAAAGTCTGTAGCTTTTCTATACACCAATAACAAGCAATCAGAGAAAGAGTACAGGGAAACCCTCCCCTTCACAAGACCAAAATTAAAATATCTTGGAATAAATCTGACCAAAGACACCAAAGAGCTCTATAATGAAAATTTTAAATTGTTGAAGAAAGAGATTGAGGAAGACATCAGGAGATGGAAGGACCTCCCATGTTCATGGATTGGAAGAATTAATATTGTTAAAATGACCATCCTACCAGAAGCAATATATAGATTCAATGCAATCCCAATCAATATCCCCATGACATACTTCATAGTTAGAATTCTTGAAGCAAAGTATATGTGATCTTTGCTTTATAAGTAAGTTTTTTTCTTTATGTGGCCATGGTAATTGGATCGAAAGTGCATAGAACACATTTGTAAGCTAGTGTGCCAAGAACTAGACAAACTACCTAAGAATAGAACATAAAATGTGAAATTCTTGTTTCTTCTTGCTTGCTTATGTTTGGTTTTCTGTAATGTACTTTTTCAGAGAAATTTGGCTGAGGTTGTTTTTAGTAAAACACATGTGAGTCATTTGAATTTTTTTGATTTAAAATGCTATAGTGCCAAGAATGTGTGCAAATAGAAGCTATCTGCTAAATTATTGTCTAAAGTATTTAACTTTTATTTTATTTTTATTTTTATTTTTACTATTTTTTTAGTCTTTTTGGAGACAGGGTCTCCTTGTAGCCCTGGTGGCCTGGAATTTACTATGTAGACCAGGCTGGCCAGTTATTCAGTCTGCATTATTTTAAAGCATGTTTGGTAATTTACAATTAGAGGAGTGTGTTCCTGGGGATTTTGTGTTATTTGGTTAATGTTAAGTTGGCTTTCTATCCATTTGTAGGGAAAGGAAATTGAGGATGGGTGATAACTGATATATGTTTCTCAATTTTCACATGAAAATTAATAAATATTTATTAATATTTGTCTAATATATTTGATAGATATTTGATTTAAAAGTTCTATTTTGGAGCTTTTAAAAAATTATAATTTTTATTTTATGTGTATGAATGTATTGCCTGCATGTGTGTAAGTGCACCTGTATTGTGCAATGCCCAAGACAGTCAGAAGAGGGCGTTGGATTCCTCTGAAACTGAAGTCACAGACAATTGTTAGCTGCCGTGTGGGTGCGGGGAATTGAACCGGAGTCCTCTGCAAGAGCAACCAGTGGTTTTAACTGCTGAGCCATCTCTCCAGCCCCCTATTTTGGAGCTTATTAAGGGTATATATATTTGTACTTTTTATATTCTTGGGACATTTGCTTATCATTAGGTAATATTATGCCCCATCTCTTGTCTGTTGCAGGAATTCTTGTCTTAATGTCTGTTTTGCCAGATACTGGTGTACCCACTTCGGAGTGCTAGTTGCGTTTTTCCAGTCTTTTTCGCTTTCAACCATTTGTATCTTTAATTCTAAAGGAACTCTTTTCTAGGTGGTATGTAGCTAGACCAGTTTTTCTTTTAAATCCATTTTCCCAAGCCCTTCTTTTCGTTGGAGAGCTAAACTATTTACATTTAATGTAATACTAAAAAAGAGTGGTTTACTTCTGTCATTTTGCTATTTGTTTCATCTATCTTACATACTTCTTTTAGTTTCTTCATTACTCTCCACTCTTTTGTGTAAATAGTTCTCTTTCATACCACTTTAATTCCTATCATTTCTTTTATTATAGATTTTGAGTTAGAAAGATAAGCCCTCTGAGTTCCCCCAAGAGAGCCTGAGATAGGCCAAAACAAACAACCACAAGAATAAGGTCCCTTCTGCTGCTCCAGAATAGCCTCTGGGCTGGGAACTGGATTGTTGTTAAGATCACTGCTGAAATGGAACTGAGTGTTCACCGGAGTTAATGAAAATGCCATGGAGCTCCTTTACACAGACTTTAGCTGCTGGTCCTCCTTCCCTTTTGCTTTCCCTCCTCATCTTTCTTCTTTCCTTTCTTCCTATCTTGATAAAGCATTGTCTGGTTATTGCAAGCTTTTGTTTAGTTTCTGTGGCTCCACAGAGTTGACACTGACACCTTCCTCCATTCATTGATCTTGTGGAGGGACAGAATTTGAAGATTCCTCTAACCTTATTTTTCTCCTGAGTATGTTTAGATATGTGATAGATAGATAGATAGATAGATAGATAGATAGATAGATAGATAGATATAGATAGATAGATAGATGATAGATGATAGATAGGTATCTGTTTTTTGAGTGCCTTAACCTTCATAACAAATTATGTTTTGTTTGTTTTCTTTAAACTTAGGATTTCCTTGATAAGAAATGGGGATAAAATTCCATCTCAAGATCATTTGATAGTTCAAGAATACATTGAAAAGCCTTTTCTGATGGAAGGTTACAAGTTTGATTTACGAATTTATATTCTGGTTACATCCTGTGATCCACTAAAGATATTTCTCTACCACGATGGGCTTGTACGAATGGGAACAGAGAAGTACATTCCACCGAATGAATCCAACCTGGTGAGTGATGGCAGAAAGAGCATGTTATCATTCATTTGTTCAAAGTATGCCCTTTAAATCGTGTATGTTAAGATTTATGAGTCACAGTTCCTTCTCTTAGGAGATTTTGGCTTAGAAGAGTCATATACATAAAAAAGCATGGTTCAGGGGACTGGAGAGGTGGCTCAGTGGTTAAGAACACTGGCTGATCTTGCAGAAGACCTGGGTTCAAATCCCAGCACCCACATGGCAGCTAACAACTGTCTGTAACTTCAGTTCCAAGGGATCTGACAGCCTCTTCTGTCTTCCATGGGCATTGCACGACACGGGTGCACTTACCTACATGTAGGCAATGTACACATACACATAAAAATAATAAATAAAATATTAAACAAACAAAAAAGCCTGGTTCTAACTTATAGGTTGCTTTATGAAAACTAGACAGAAATGCATCGTATTAGCTAACTGGGTGGGATTAGGAGCCCACATCTCTAGGTCGTGACCTCTATAGAAATCACTCTGCTGGAAAGAAAAGAAGGTGTGCCTCTGAGAAGTCAAATAAAGTGTGGGGACATTGGGTTCAGTGCCTCATAGAGGGAGGACATGGATCAGGCTTTGTAGGCAAAGTTTAACATGTACAGGTAGAACGTGGGAGCATACGAATAAAAGCAAAAGTTATCAGCAAGTAGCATTATTTTGTAGGGATAAGGAGAAGTGAGGTTCTAAATTTACACTGACCAAATGTGAAGTTAAGGTGTAAGACAATAGCTTCAGTAGTCATTGAAAAGTTCATCATATGGAACATTTACTGAGTTTTGTTCCATTAAGATTTCCTTTGTACAACAGTTAATATTCATGAAAGTTGTAAATGTAATTTATCATGAAAATTATAAACTGTAATTTATTGCTTATGAAAGTCAAATTGTAATTTATTATCTCAAATGTGAAGTTAAGGTGTAAGACAATAGCTTCAGTAGTCATTGAAAAGTTCATCATATGGAACATTTACTGAGTTTTGTTCCATTAAGATTTCCTTTGTACAACAGTTAATATTCATGAAAGTTGTAAATGTAATTTATCATGAAAATTATAAACTGTAATTTATTGCTTATGTAAGTCAAATTGTAATTTATTATCTGTATTTAAAAATTCAGTTCACTTTTAATCTTGCATTTTGAATGTGCTAATTACAGGAAAAATTACAATTAATTCTTGTTTCCCAGGTTTTCAAAGGCCCAGTTATTCTCCCCCAGTATTATGCACACAGTTAATTCCAGTGAGGTTGATCATTTTTCAGAATTAAGTAGTGGCTGACCTTTCCTGTTGCTATATTCAGTAAACTGAAAATTTCATAAACTTGGCAAAGAAAAAGTAAGGAACTATAAAAATTGTATAAGAAATAACATTAAGGGGGGAGGGAGGCTATGGGAGGGTGCTATCTGGGAAGTGGGGAAAAAGCAGTAAGCTAACTTTTAACTTAAAAAAAAGAAATAACATTAAGATAAAGACATGCTTATTAAAGGTCATAGGCTGGTCTATAGCCAATCACCAAGTAATATTTGACATGTACTACATTCTAGGCATTGTGCTGTTTTTGAAAGAACATTAAACAAGACAGGGACAGTATGTGACCTCACAGAAGCAAAAGTCTGCTAGCGAGACAGAGGAGAGAATAAGCAGTCAGAATATCTGATGAGGTTTGAGTGAAGGTATTGAGCCCTAGGGAGCTCTGGGCATGGCAAGGACACCTCTCCAGATGGAGATGAAAGTGACTTGAAGTCTAAGTAATGATCTGGCCTGGCTTGGAATGGGGTGGAACACTGGACAAAAGGATGCACCAGAGATGTGTAGATGGACAGTCTGTAGGAACCAGACAAGTTCAGTTGGGGCAAAATACAGACTGGAAACAGGAGTGTCTATTAAGAGATGAGCACACAGGCTCCCAGAAACCAGATATTTTAAGACTTTGTGAAGAATATTCTAGGATTTTAAAAGTCAATTGAAGATGACAGTTTGAGAGAAGGAATAAAATTTGGGGTTTTGAGAAGCTCTTCTGATTTTCAGTGTGGGGAACAAAGATGGGGTTAGAGGCAGGAAAATCATGAATTACAGGAGACCAGAAACGATTTCAGTCTGACCATATGACACAAGACATCACTGAAATAGGGGCAGAGGGGCCGGACAGCAAGCTCACGTGTGGATTTGAGAGCGATCTAAGGTAGCATGGATAGCATTGCTAAACCATGGTGTCAGCTGTATTTGTGGAATGAGGGCAAGAGCCAGGCAAGTCAGATAAACTCAGGATGTTTGGTCAGGAAAGTTCGGTGGATGAAGAGTTGCTGCCATGGTGAAGGACCACAGGAGGTTTTGAGGAAAGCTGACGTGCTCAGCATCGGTGCTTCTGTGACCTCCAACTACATCTGTTCTATACAGATGTGGACATTCAGCTTTCAGATGAGAAGGGTCACTTGAGCTGTGGGCATAATGTGGGGCACACCAGCTTAGAGATTATGATTGGTGATTGGAATGGGTGATGATGCAGCGTGTTTGTATAGGGTAGTAGTTACTTTTTGATGGCATTAGAAGACTTGGAAGGTATTTATCTAATATAATAAGCCATGTGTATATAAATAGCTTAAGTTCACTGGGTTAGAAGCTTATAATGAGAGATGTGGAGGAGGGAGGTGGGGCCTTTAGGTCTTATTTTTCCAGTTGCTTTTGAACATGTAAATTCCTCTGTCGTTTCAATATATATATAGAAAAAAGCATGTTCTCCTACTTAAACATAAGTATTCCTTCTGTATGTATCTCTATGAGTTCATTACTGAATTTATGTGTAGTTGTATGGAAAAAAGTAAAATGCAAGATTTTACATAAACAGCTCAAGTAAAAGGTTATTTTAAGAAAAAACACTGGAAAAATCCAAATTAAACAGCTTCTCTGGTAGATTTTGGATGAAGTGCTGTTGCATGATTCTTTTTTCTTCCTATTTCTATTATTCTAAAATAGTGAATGTATATTTTGTAATGAGCTCTGTATTTCCATAAAAAAATTATAGACTTGGTGCTGGAGAGATGGCTCAGTGGTTAAGAGCACTAGCTGTTCTTGCAGAGGATCCAGGTTCGGTTCCCAGCACCCAATGGTGGCTAACAACCATCAGTAATTCCAGTTCCAGGGGACCTGGTGTCCTCTTCTGACATTAGCAAGCATTACATGACATGGATGCTCTTACATACATGCAAACAAAACACTCTCACACATACATACAAAACATTAAAAAAGAAATTATAGACTTAATTATAATTATTAATGTATTTCATTTATGAATACAATTACATGAAATTTATTTTTAAATGTAATACAGATGACAGAATCTAAAATGTTGAAATATAATATTCATTTTTTATTTGGTTTTTAAAATTGGGGCTTATATAACCTTTGCTGGCCTTATACTTATTATGTAGTTAGGGATGACCTTGAACTCCTGGTCTTCCTGATCCTACCTTCCAAGTTGTGGAATTACAGGCACATGTTACCACACCCAGTTACCATGTAGTGATTGGCCAGTCTTTGAAGTGATTTGTATATACCAGTCCAATTTTTAAGCCTATGACAGCACACAAAGTTGGGTACAGTTACATAACACCCCTCTGCAGGTTGCTATGGGATCCTAGCTGCCTTTATTTTTGTAGTTGCTCCTTAAATGAAAAGACAAATTCTTCAGTAGTGAAAGGCACACAACTAATAATCAACAAATAGCTCAGACAACTCCCTCTGCTTGTTTGCGTCAAGGATTTTATTTAATGCATAGACCTAAGGAATTGTAATAACGATAAAACATCAGAAGGATATAGGTAGGGTATGGTGGTGCACACTTTTAGTCCCAGTACTCGGGAGGTCAGCCTGATCTATATAGTAAGTTCCAGGCCAGCCAGGGCTCTACATAGTGAGACCTTTTTGAAAAACAACAAAAGATATTCACTGTGATGCAAAATTTCTATCCAAAGCAATCTTTGGGATTAGGACTAGAAGAGGGTAGGAATTAAATATAGACTCTGAATGTTTATGCTAACCTGATAAGGAACTGTTAGATGTACATTGAGAGTTAAGGGAAGTTTTGAATTTCACTCCAAGCAACAAAAGAACACAAAATATCTAAAGTATAAGAGGCCCAAATGCATCTAAATATATTTTCCCATTAGTCATTTAGACTCTGGACAGCAGTGTGACTGTTTGCTATGGAGTTCACTTGTCCCAGTTAGTGTAGGTGTGCAGAGCGGTTTGGTAATCCTGCCTCTTTGAAATGCTGGTTACTTATACTTTCATTTAAATTATTTTTCTTTGAAAAGATGTAGAGTTCTTTTTTTAGAAAATCCCCTCATCAAACAAGTTTTAAAAATAAACAAGTAATGCAAGTAATTTTTTTCTATATTCATCTTTATTTGGCACTTAAATTTTTTTGATTTATTTATATTCATTTTATGTGTATGAGTGTTTTCCCTGCATGTAAGTACACCCATGTTGTGCAATGCCTGTGGAGGCAAGGAGAAGAGCCCCTAAACTGTTTGGAAATGGTATTACAGATGGTTGTTAACCACCATGTGGGTGCTGGGAACCAAACCCTGACCTCTGCAAGAGTGGCCAGCACTGTTAACTACTGAGCCATCTCTTAAGTACCTCCCCCTTTTAGAGACAGAGTCTCTCTGTAATCCCATCCAACCTGGAACTTGCTATGTAGACCAGGCTGGCCTCCATCTCACAGAGATCTGTCTGCCTCTGCCTCCCAAGTGGTGGGATTAAAGGCATGTACCACCATGCCTGCGCTCATTTGGTACTTTTTAATAATAAGTATTATGCATAATACATAAAGTTACTCTATAGATGATTACATTTGCAATGCTCTCAATGCAAAAGTGGCACTCCATTACTTAAATAACCAAGATAATCAGATGGTATAGTTTGGAGGTTTTGTGTCTTTTATTAGCATATATTAATTATGCTTAATAACAGGCTTAGTTATGAAATTTCCACATGTTAGCATACTCACCCCATGACCCTCTCATCTTCCTCTCACTCTCGTTGAGCCTCTTTCTCTTCCCAACTAGCCCGTCTTCTACTTGCATACCTTTTTTTTTTATTTTATATTTTTGTGACCTAATGAGTTTCATTAGGGTTCCTTACAAGGGCATGGAGGAGGGGTAACTTACAGGAACATGGGTACCTTACCAGTGGCTGCACCATCGAAGATAATGCCTCTCCCCCAACCCCCAAGCACCTATTAATTGCCTATAGATCCCTCAGTGAGGCATGGGGCCTCATGAACCCTTTGCCCCTCCTTGCCTGGATGCTGACAGGTCTAGTCTTGTGCTTTCTTGCCCAGTGCATCAAAGATTCTGTGAGTTCATGAGTGCAATGGCCATGTCATGTGCAGGAGGTAGCGTTCCACAGCACTCTGCCTCTTCCTCTGGCTCTTACACTTTCTGCCTCCTCTTTCAGGATGTTCCCTGAGTGCTGGAGGGGGTGATACTGATGTCCCATTTATGACTAATCACTCAACAGTCATTTAGTCTCATAACTTCAACCAGTTATGAGTCTTTATCGTGACCACTTCCCTTTGCATGAAGCTTCTCTGACCAAAACTGGCCACAGCACTAATCTCTGGTCATAAACTTGATTGTATAGAAGCATTTTGACAGGCGTATCATGTTCATTTAGCAAATAACCAACAACAGCTTCCCCATTATGGTCTATGACCTACTCAGATACGGGCTTTTGACCAAGGATACTGTACCAGACATGGATTCCCTGCTGTGGAGTGAACCTCAAATTTAATCAAAAAGTGATTGGTTATTCCATTACTGGGCACATATTGCCTGGCTGCTCAGTAGTGCAACACACAGGGACCACATCTGAATGGAACTGTTGACCATTCTAACCTAGCATGGTCCCTTCTAACACTATGACAGCTCGGAGGAAGTTTCAGGTTAGTTCTAGCTTGACTTTTCCATGTGAATACAGCATGTGGTATCTTCAACATAGGGTCTGATCGAGCTCTTCTGGTAGGTAACCAGCAGCAATGACAATTACATGTATTGTTTTGGTGGCCTCCACTCCTCCCTGACAAAGAATTTTTAGGGAGGCAGGTCACCTCTAGAAGTGGGATTTCATTTAATAACTGGCATCTGGGAGCAGCTTTATCCCACTTTTGTGTGTCACTTACAAGTTTAGGAGCTTTTAAGTTGCACTCAGCCTTTGAATGCTTTCTTCCCTGTGAGATCACATGGGTGGGGCTGTCTTAGAAAGTAATCTCTTTGTTCTTCCTCCTCAAAGACACAGTTATACATGCATCTGACCAACTACTCTGTGAACAAGCATAATGAGAGATTCGAACGCAATGAAACCGAAGACAAAGGCAGCAAACGTTCCATCAAGTGGTTTACAGAATTCCTACAAGCCAACCAACATGACGTGTCTAAATTCTGGAGTGATATTTCAGTAAGACTATCCTGTTCTGTAACTAGAATTGACTTTCTTTAGCTTAAAACACCATAAACATTTTTAAAAAGTAGAGTATATTAGATTGGGAAGATGAGAATTTCATGAAGAAAGTGGACCTGGTGATGGGCCTTGAAAAGTAAGACTCTCATTTCTAAGGAAAGTGGAATTCTAGGTGGGGGACAAAGACATAGACCAAGGCATGGAGGTGTGAGATCCTTAGAGGTGTGCAGAGTGCCGTGTACATGTGGGACATGTATGACATACTCTTCTAGTGGTGTCTGAGTACCTTCTGCATCTGAAGGGAAAAGTGCAACATGATAAGGAGCTGGGCTCATTACAGTTTTTTAGAAACATTTTATTATGTGTGTGTGTGTGTGTGTGTGTGTGTGTGTGTGTGTGCGTGTGTGTGTGTGTGTGTGCGTGTGTGTGTGTGTGTGTGCGTGTGTGTGTGTGTGTGTGCGTGTGTGTGTGTGTGTGTGCGTGTGTGTGTGTGTGTGTGCGTGTGTGTGTGTGTGTGTGCGTGTGTGTGTGTGTGTGTGCGTGTGTGTGTGTGTGTGTGCGTGTGTGTGTGTGTGTGTGCGTGTGTGTGTGTGTGTGTGCGTGTGTGTGTGTGTGTGTGCGTGTGTGTGTGTGTGTGTGCGTGTGTGTGTGTGTGTGTGTGTGTGTGTGTGTGTGTGTGTGCCACGGTAAGTGTGTGGAAGTCAGTGGCCAACTCACAGGACTCAGTACTGTCCTGCCATTTGGAAGTTCCTAGATCAAATAAGTCATCAGGTTTAGTGGCAAGTGCCTTTAGCCACTAAACCATCTTGCCAACCTCATTCAGTTTTTATAAAATACTTTTATTGAGTTTTTATGCATTTCATAGAATAGATCTTAATCAAATTTAGACCCCCCTCCCCATATCATTTACACTGACTCTCATACATTCTGTCATATATGTAAAGTCCTATCCAGTCAATCATTTGTACCTATATGCTCTCTGGTGTAAGTTTATCCACTGGAGTCTGGTCAGCCTATCTAGGAACACTCCCTTAAAGAAGATCCACCCTCCCTCACCCAGTAGTAATCAGTTGTCTATTGTTCTTCAGCTAGGGTTGGGGCCTGCTGCCCATTTTCCTTGTTCTATGCTGGGTTTTTGTCTGATTGAGTCAGCCTGGGTCCTGTGCATGCTGTCATTGTTGTTGCAAGTTCATATGAGCAAGTTCCCAATGACCTGAAAACCTGTTTCCTTATGTTCATGCACCAACCCTGGATCTTAGACTCTTTCCACTGCTCTTTTTGTAGTGGTCCCTGAGCCGAGGGTGGGGGAGGTATAATATAGGAGTCCTGTCCAGGGACGTGCACTCTGCCATTTCTTATTCTTTAAAACTTGGCCAGTGTGTGCATCTAAAACAGCGGCTTTCTGTGTGTATCACACTGTTGTGTGAGGGAGCTTCACTGGTGAGAGTTGAGGGCTACATTAGTATCTCTCTACCCCCTATTCCTCTATGTTCCATGAGCTTTAAGTGTAGAGGTTTCACTGTACATGTGTCACTTAGGGCTGGACATCTCTCAGACAGATATTCTCTGTGTGTGACCAGTTGTGGAACTCTGTAATAGCCTCCATCTCTTGCAAAAAAGAAGCTTCTTTGATGAGTGGCGTAAGGTATGCTTGTCTGTAAATATAATGATCCATATTTAGCATACAGTAAGAACATTTATTTGTCTAGAGATATGACAGAGATAGGGTTTTCTCTAGGATCTATGACCTCTCCAGCCATGTATATTTGGCTGTGTTTACAGTGCTACCCATGAGTTCACTCCTATTGAGAGGGCCTTGAGTCTAATTAGATAGCTGTTGATTACCCCTCAGATAAAAGTGCCATTACTGCACCAATAGAGAGTTTGTTATGCCAGTTGTTGTGGTTATTAGACTTTACACCTGGACTGGACCATTGATTGATTTTCTCCCTTAGCAGCTTGCATGGTATCCTCTAGAACTATGAGAGTTAGTCTTCAGGGAGAAGGCTTCCAGGTCAGTTTCTGCTCCATTGCTCCAAGTCCTGTGCCTGAAGTATGTCCTGTCTTCAGCAGTAGGGCCTTACCCTCAAGTTCTATAGGGTAGTCAAGGACTGTGGCAATAGCCTGTGTTATTTTGGGAGTCTCTTGGACTACATTGACTGATTCAAAGGGAGGTTTCTCCTGTCTGGCACTGTGTTCCTTGTTATATAGCCTTCAGGTATACGCATGGACTCGTGTTCAGATATTGTATGTGTATTTTTCAGAGGTGGGGTGTTGAGTTAATACATTTTCCTCTGGCTTTTTACATCACCTAAGCTTTATCTATCCTCTCTCTTACCCTGTCTAACCTCCTTTCTCTCTCCCCAATTTAAGTGCCTCCATTTCCCCCTCAATAATATGTGTCTCCTATTATCCCCCCCTCTCTTGAGTTCCTTCTTCCCCTTCACCCCATGTTTCCTTGTATGTCTTTCCCTTCTCCCTTCCCAGTTGAATACCCCTGTTTTCCCCATTTCCCTCTTGGTAACATGTTTCCTACTATCCCCTGCTCTTAGATCCTTTCTTTCCCTTTCCCTCCATGATTCCTTTCCGTTTTCCTGGCTCCTGCTGTTATATCAGGATATATACTCACATACAGGGGATTGGTGCCAAGATCTGCAAATGAGGAAGAACACGTGTTGTTTGCTTTTCCGAGCCTGTGTTACTTCACCTAGTATAACAGTTTCTAGTTCCATCCATTTACCTGCAATTTTCATGATTTCATCTTTCCTTATTGCTGAGTAGAATCCCATTGTGTAAATGTGCCACATTTTTGTTATCCACTTGTCAGTTGAGGAACATTTAAGTTGTTTCCATTTCTTAGCTAATGTGAAAAGAGCAACATCAACTAGTTGTATGCTGTATTTCATGGGATGATAGGTGGTTGCTTTTCACATGTTGTGGAAATCCTGTCTGAGTATTAAAAAGCCGTTCAAGAGGGTAAAAGGGAGAGAGAACGCCAAGAAAATGGATCAGCGAAGAATCTAAGGTAGGATGAAGTGTCTCTTCCTTGAGAAACCCAAAGAAAACCAGCGTGGCTAGAGAGATTGGGGGCATAGGGAAGAGCTGGAGGAGGGAAGGCAGAGCAACCCAGGGGCTGGGTGCCAGAGAGCATTTGTGGATCTGGTTAGGATGCTAGTTTGTTTACCCAGGTCTTCTTTGTATTATGAAGTGAGATACAAATAAGGTCTTTTCATGTCTTTTATTGCGACCTCTCCAGGAGTTGGTGGTAAAGACTCTGATTGTAGCTGAACCCCATGTCCTGCATGCCTATCGAATGTGCAGACCTGGTCAGCCTCCAGGAAGTCAAAGTGTCTGCTTTGAAGTCCTAGGGTTTGACATCTTGCTGGATAGAAAGCTGAAGCCATGGCTTCTGGAGGTAAGGTATTCTGCAAGAAGAAAAATGTTATCACAGTTCTAATGCATTTTAAAAAATGTGTTTAAAAATATGTGCTTGGCACAGGTGTCCCCAACTCACTGGCTGGAACGAGGCCTGAAGAGAGCATGTGGGAGGAAGAGAATGAAAATTCTGAGACTAGGACACATCCAGGGATGAATCAATATGTTTTCATATTGCTTTCCTCCCATTAGCACAGGGTGAATCGGAGTGTGAGCTGCTCTCCCTGAGTGCTCACTGACTACAAACTCTAGGATTTTCTTAGCCTCGTGGTTTCTACCACTTCATGAGCTCTGGATGTTATCTTTCCTCTGGATGGGCACCTGGACCTCAGGCCTTTGCCTTCAGTGTGTCTTCAAAACCTCCACGGGGAGGGGAGACGGGCTCCAGTTGGCTAATTATTCACCATGCAGCACTCAACCCTGCAGGTGACATAAATTCTCCCTGATAGTGCCTGTCAACTGAATGTCTTTTTTCCTTGATTATGAAAGGTCACCTAACAAGAAATGACCTCATCCAGTCATTTTTATATTTACATATTCATATTTACATCATGCAAAAGGCCCCTTAGAAGCTAAGTTATCCAGCAGCTTCCCATCTAGAAGTCTCTCAAGGGTCCCTGATCTGGAGTTACAGAGAAAACCTCCCTCTTCAGGGTTACTCACAGATGGTTTCTAGACAGCTATTAGGGAAACAGCACACATCTGAGCTCCTTTACAGATTCACTCTCTTTGTTTTTATATGTTATTAATTATATTTTAAGGAACATATTACTACAGAGGATGTAATCAACCACTGCTTTCACCGGAGAGGGATCTGCATCTGTAATAGCAAGATTTGTAAGCAAGTTCATGAGTGATAGGTGGG